CTACACTTTGCACAAACCACAAGCTAATAATAGCAGTGGAAAAAAGTTCAGCCTTGACAGAAATGTTGAACTCAGAACATGGTGCAGGTGAAACACACTTTTTGCTGTTGCTTTAATCATATGCAATTATTCAGCATATGGGATTCAATTTAATGCCAGCTATAGGGCTGGGCGATAAAATAATAACGATAATTATCGCAAAATATTTTTTCTCGATAAAATGAAGAGGTTGATAAATGTTTGATAATGTTTATGCGCCAAAAGCGGAACGAAACTCAGTTGAACCTGCGCGCGCCACACTGAGCATTTATCCACTCGGCTCAAAGTCAGCGAGCTCAGGCAGACGCGCTTACTCTGATCGTCTCGCTCACGAGATCCAGTGAGAAGTGCTTGAGTTCAGTGAAGAACACAAATATCAAGCTTAAACCAGTTTAATTGCAGATGAAACACCGCTGACAAAAAGGAGAAACAGCTGCGTTCAATGCTATAGTCAGAATCTGAATTGATAGTGAATCCATTTAGCTTACCATGGATTTACTGTAAGGTTAACCCATGGCTTAACCTATTAATATTAAAGGGTACATATCATGCTTTTAAATAATTCATTTTTACATATAAATCATACCATTGTGGTCTATATAAAACATAACTGCAATGTTTGGGTCTGAATTCCTCATTATTATAGCTCCACAAGCCACTTTTCTACCCCTTTTCTGATGTGTGTCTTTGAGCGACCCGTTTCAAAGCGTCCCCTTTAAATAAAAAGGAGATGCGTCACACCCCGCCCGCTCTCCAGGTCGCTGAGTTCACGGTCAGGTCAACTCCTGACTAGAGATAGATTAGAGATATACAATTATACAGAAGACTTGTCCATCAAGCCTTACATATTCGAGCCAGAGCGAGCGAGTTAATAAAGATGACGACGAACCTGCAGAACAACCTCTTCATCATATGGATGTATTGGTATGTGAGTTAACTGTTTTGCGTTATTATTAGTGAAAGTCGACTATTTCTCTTGTTAAAACAAGCACACTGACAAGATAAATGACTACGGTCTAATCTTACCACAAAAAATCTGTATTGACAATATGATGCATTTAGAAAAGCATCAGAAAAGCAGCTAAATGACCATTGATGAAACTCAAGAACAATTAATACTGCAGACGTGTAACGTTACTTCAAAACAAAAACAAAGAAAGACAAAGGTACTGCTAAACCATGACCACCATGTGTTTTAAGAAAGTAAAGTACTTTATTTATTATTAACGATATTTACAGCTTATCAAAATGCTCTGTTCGTCGTCTCCAAGGATAGAAGGAATTTAACGTTACCTCTCATTCAGACGAAGTCAATCGGCAAACCCTTCTGTATAACGTTACTGGCGGAGGTTGTTGAAGTGGGAATCCTTGAAGTGCTTCAGGTCACTACATCCAAAAACCGAACATTTTGACTTGCCCTCCCGTAACTTCTGCATCATTGAGCTTGGACTACAAAATCGGAGCGAGAAATAATAATAGCGGATTGCTCGAAGTGTTGGACCGGTATCAATGTCTTTATTTGGCAGTTCCGCTGCAAATACGGTGACGCTGTTCAAAAAACGTTATAGAAAACAGAAAAATCTGAACAGGTTGAAAAATATGACCAAAACAGAATAGAAAGATATAAACGAAGAACCTGAAGAGAATAATTTCATCTTTTCTGTACTTATAAACACTCCAAATATACAACAAAATGCATTTAAGGGCTAAAAAAGTGGATTTTGCATGATATGATTATGTCCCCTTTAACTGCACCATGAAATGTGGGATATACATATTGAATTCAGGGCTGCCAACTCTCACGCATTCAGCGTGAGACTCACGCAATTGAGCAGATTCTCACGCTCTCACGCCACACTCCTGATTTCTCACGATGATGTGTTAAGCCTGAAAGATGAGTTTATCTATAGGTCTATCTGTTGAGGCACTGGCGATCCACTAGTTTTACCGCTTATAGTTAAAATATCCTGTAATCTTATCTAGAGTGAGCATGCACGCGAGACAGAGGTTGAGCTCCTAACCGCGCACGACGCCAGAGAGGTAGGTGAGATGCAATCCCAGTGGCAAGGAACCAAAACCCGCAACCCAAACTGTGCTGAAGAAATATTTTTCTATAGAGCTGGTAAGTCCCTCCCCTTCAGCTAGCCCCGCTGGACCTCTAGGTTGAAAACCGTCAATGCAAGTGAATGAGATAAAATAATTATTTTCTAATCCCTTTTGAATTGTGCAATGAATGTAACATATGTTGTCTGTGAATTTTTTGTTTATAATGTTTCGTGTAAAGAATGCTACAATTTAGCGGGTAGAATTTTCATACGGTTAGACTTTGTGTGAGAGCACAACTCTTTCGACGTGTTTGATATTAATCACCCCACTAGCACACGGATCCCGCTAAATATGCCTGTGTCTTTGGTGCACTTCACCGCCTTCTTTCAGGGAGAGGACAAACTAGTTGAGTGTGGTGAAAACCGTGATTTGTGGAGGGAAAATGTGTTATGCGGCGACGTCACATGCGACGTGTAGTCTTTCTCTATTCCACAACTGCTAGCCAAAGAATCATACAATATACTGTCAAACTCGTTACATGAGAAATTATATAAAAAATTCACATGGCACAATTCAAACGGGATCAGAAAATAATTATTTTCTCTCATTCACTTGCATTGACGATTTTTCAACCTAGAGGTCCACTTGAAGTTTTACGGATGGGCGGGACTTACCAGCTCTATTCAAATATTTATTTTAAGGAAAAATGTTTGAATGTTCTACCTCATATTTGTGAAACGTTCACCTGTTTGGCAAGTGTTTGTAATGAGTCTGACAATAAAGTTTAAAACCACAATTAACGCTCTGGTTTATACAACTTTCACTTAGGAGCAAAAATCTGCCTTTAAACTTGATAGAAATAAAGATTTGACATTTATCGTGATAATTATCGATATCGACTGATATAAAAAAAATTTATTGTGATAATTTTTTTGGCCATATCGCCCAGCAGACATATGTTACATAGCCTATGTTATATATTTTAAATAATGTAGTACTCTGAAGTGCTCTGATGATTGACCGATGAATTGTCACAATCTATTGAATGATTTGAAACACTTTTTCCATGCATGTTAAGAGCTACTGCATGTTGACAGTTGCTCTGTCTGCATCTTGGATCATGGACTTTGTGCATGCATGCAGAATGAAATCTTCTGTAAATCATATTTAAATCTACTCTTACATAAAATCAGTCTACACACGTCTTATAAATAAGGTCCAATGCACACAAACATATTCTCAACTTTGGATCACGTATATTCTCTCTTTCTGGAAAAAAAAAACAGACAGACAAACGTATATTCATTTATATTTTATTAATTACACTGTAAACAGATTTATAAATGGTTACATTTATACTCGGTATATATAAGATACATTGATACAAGTATTATGGCATAAACAATATTATAATACAGAACCAATATAGAAAAAATAAAAACTCTATAGAAAAACAATGGCAAAAATTTTGCTATATAACTTTCATATACAATAGAATTATATGTTGGGTTTATAGCATCTCATAGCAATTCTTATTGAATGAATGAACCCAATAAAGATAATGGTTATGTAAGTGTATATACATACAATGTTGTTCAGCAGCATGATCTGGTTCATAACAAAGAATGAAATTGGAGAATACAGGGGGCCAAAGAGAATCTTGGTTTTGACATTCCAGAGTATAATTTTTGTAAAGACTCGGACCGGCATGGGGAATTTGCATATAATAATTAATAATTGATAATTAATCATTATTCATGCAGGACAGGTTTGGGTCAGATCAGCCTTACATGTTATTAAATCTCCCAATAAGGGATAATATGTTACCTGCATCTGATGCATGTGTATCTCGGCAACCAAACACAAATTGATTACAGTAGCCTACCTGTTTGCATAGTTTAAGTGCTACAGACAGGTAAAAATTAGCTCAATTTTATATCAATATCTAATCAAATCAAATTATAATTAACCATTAATATATCAATTAGGTCTGCATACCCGACAACAACACGGAAAATGCTTAATGCTCAACAAGCTCTTAATGCCCTGAGCGTTTGGTAACCCAAATATAGCTACTTGCATGGTTCATGTCTCTTTGTGTGTTGTTCCGTTGGGGCGTCATGTCGTCCCGTCAGTGTGGTCCTGCGCGCGTGTTGAACAAAGGTTAAAAGTCTTTGAGGTAAAATTGCCAATAGTTCGGCTAAGTTCACTTCTTTTTCTGTGAAATGAACTCGGTATGAAAGACTTAAAAGAAATGCAAAACTTTTAAACAAAACCAAAAAATTCCAGAGGGGGAAATCACAGTTTGGCTAACTTACATGATGAAGGCGGACGAAGACACGACAGGAGAGCGAGAGAGAAGGGGGGAGTATCTGGAACATTATCCCAGTAGAGTTTTCAAACAACATAGACCAAACAACAGAGGAAAATCATGAGCTAGGGAGATTAGATACATTGTTCATACAATTCTCAAGTGGATATATAATAGAATATATAAAGCCTATGACTACAGGAATTATTTCTCCTCCTTGGTTAGAATTCAGAGAGAGCCAATGCTTATCTGAATATTCCTTGGTCGTAAACGTTATCCAAGAAACACCCGGCTCTGGAAATGATGTTAGTTTTGGTCCTGTCCCAAAAAGCTGGTGCACATAGAATCATGCATTACATTTTAGCTACTGTAATCTCCTGTATCTGATTAGGGTAGACTGGGTACAGTTGAGACACTTTGCGTTTTGATTTTTCACACAAAAATAGATACTGAAAAGACGTGAATTTCCACATGACATGCCACATGAGATTTCATTAGCTTGTAGACTAAGATACTATCAATAAGATACTAAGATACTACTCATAAGTGGTTTATATTTTCCACAATTAGCTCAAAAAAATAAGGTGTTTTTTTGTCTCAGCTGTACTCATATGTGGGTACCATGGTACAGTTGGTAACTAATCGTTCATTGAAAATATAATAAATAAAGACAAATAAAAAAATAACAATTGGGCAACATGTTTGTTTTCATCCATTCAAATTCATTAATTTTAGTTAAATTTTATAAAACAGAAACAATATATTTTATATGTTCATTAATAATACACTGTTTAATTATCACAAATACCAAATTTTTATTTAATTTGTGGCTTATGATGGCTAATTATGACATTTAACCTGTTATCATAACACTGAACAACAAAACAGCGTGTGATGGCCAGCACTCGCATTTCTCTAAATTTTGCAATGACCATGCGTGACACAATACCATGAAATATGCCCGTTTTTAGGGCACAGAATAACGTTTGTGATAATACCAGTTATGTCACTAAAGGATAATAAGCGATTCATTGTGGAGTGTGCATGGTGAAGTGAATGTCTTCCCTTACAAAAATAACTTTTGCAGATATCCTCGGATCGGAGATGCGTCCATTGACAAATTTCCCACGATCAAAGAGGACACTAATACTGGCTGCGCGCGCAAGTTATTTAAGGTGTCTCAACTGTACCTATGTCTCAACTATTCAGCTGGACCGTGAGAATTAAAATGGTACCAAGCAGAGAATATACACACATAACCGGAATACAAATCTACATCTTAATGCATAACAGCTAAATGTGTGTGTGTGTGTGTGTGTGTGTGTGTGTGTGTGTGTGGTGGAAGGAACTTTGTTGAATTCCTCTCTGAGGTGAAAGCGATTTTTTTTTTTTTTTTTTTTTTGAAGCTTGCACCCCTGTGTGTGCGTGAACAATGTTCAGGCTGAGTTTCCCGAAACCTTCTTAACGCTACGTCGTTCTTAAGTTACACCTTAAGCTGTACCTTATCGTTAATACGTGTTTCCCGAAACGTTCTTAGTTAAGTATACCTTCTGTAAGTTAAGAGACAACGTTATCGGGAAACTCAGCCCAAGTTTTTTCTCAAGTTTTTCAGCTGTGAGGTTGAGAGAGCCCCACCTGGCAGACTCCACATTCTCTACATTTTCTACTGCTTAAAGATGCCCCTTTACTGCCTCTGTAAGGGCCCCATTTCCCTCTCATCAATGTGATTTGGGTCATGATCCATCCACTTCATTTTAAAACTGCGTCCCAGTAACAGAAAGATGAGTGGACTGGTAAAGGGGTGGCTTACGGCCAGTACGGTAGAAGCTGGAAGTCCATATTTTAAAATGTTTTCACCCAGGCTGCCGCTTACAGTGGCCTGAAGCATAGTTAAGAAGATTTGAGGGCCCCAGCACACAAAGTAGACCATCTTTATAGCGCAGATGATTTGTGCCTTCTTCCTGCAAGATTCACATGTTTTGTGAGAGAATGTCAAACAGCAGCTTAGAAACATTACCAAAGCTGGCACCAATAGCCCGAGGAGAAATCGCATGACAACGACAGCCTTCAGCCTTCTAGTGCCTTCTTGAGTTGTTTTGGTGTCTTCCCAGTCATAGTCATCAATGCACTGAAAATATTGGACCTCTCTGGAAAACAGTGAAGGACATGCCAAGACTGCTGCAATAATCCAAGAGAATGAAATCAGAATGATGTTACAATTCTTCATCTTTTGTGTGCACCTGCTCTTTGAAAAAGTAGATTTAATGCTCCAGAGACTCAGCATGGCTGCCGTGAAGAACATACTGCCGTAGAGGATATAGGATGACAGCTTGCAAGTTGCATTTCCGTAATTCCATTGAAAGTTATTGTAAGCATACAGGAGCTGAAACACAACTGATGTACAGGAGACTAAATGTGTCACAGCCAATGCCGTAATCCAAATGGCAACCTCCTGAAAACTCTGGTTTTTCCGGCAGCTGATGACAACAACAGTGAAGTTGAGGGTGACGCCAAGGATGAGAACAATACAATATGTAATGAAGTAGGTCATCCAGATTTGAGTTTTGTACTCATTACTGCTTGAATTTGTTCCTACTGTTTTCAATATGTTTATGATATAATCATAGTCTACATCGGTCCCGTTGCTGTTTTCTGCCGACATCTTGTAAATCCTGAAACAAAATGAAATAGATTATTTCACTGGTAATAGAGCTGGCCCAAGGCAAGCGAATTAACACGGTGCGATTTTGAGCCGAATTCAGACTTTTGTTCAGAATTTCTGTTTTCAGAATTTTGTTGTAAATCATTTGGCAATTATGAAAAAATGTTATGGCTAGCCAATTGGACTATTCGTTTTAAACCATAAGTGGATATCACACAACACAAGCAATGCAAACTTTGCATGAGTTATGCTGGTGAAGAAGTCACCAACAAGTGAAAAGTAAGATTTCGGCACATATTCCCGCAAATACAACTATAGGGGTTAATCAATAAACATACGTAATGAAAAAAGAGAAGAGAAGTAGGGTAAAGTCAGCAAAATTGGGACAAATAAGCTTTTTCGTGTGTATTTCAATATACAATATAGGGCTACATTTTTATTACATAATATGTTCATGTGATTATAACATTTTATGCAATGATGTGCAAATTTATTTGTTCCATTTTTAAAAAAAAAAAATAAAGTTTTGTTACAGTCCCAGTTTCCCTTAACATGTTAGATAAAATGGGACAGTAGCATTCAGCTAAAGTGGGACATCCTATAAAATAAAATATAATAAATGTCTTAATGTGAAAAGTTTTGTTTTTCATAAAATGTCACAAAGTCAGAGGAACAAGAAAAAAACATGTCAGCCAAATAAGAGAAGTACAAAGAATAAAAAGGACAACCAATGAGTACAGGATAAGACTGGAGGCAGGCTAGGAACCTGGTTTCTTTTTATTTGGCCGGGACATGGTGTGTTCCAAAATCCACCCTTGAAAAAAGAGTGAAAAGTGTTGTGAGTTGATGTAGTCATGTCTTCTCTATGTTTTAGGACTTTTTATGGCCTAAAATTCTTATTATTAAAGTAAATAACTTGCATACATCAAGAGTCTTTCCCCCTGAAATTAAGAAATCTAAATTGGTGAATTTAGAAGAAATCTATAGATGTAAACAGATGGAGGATAGTAGGTGTTGGAGTCATTATTTTGAAGTGCATTTTTTGTTTGTGACACTAGAGGGCGTGTTAGTATTTTGAGTATATTTAAGTGTGGCGATAATGAGTTACAGGTGCGCTGATGGAAGGTCAACAAACTTTTTGACTGTGCTGTGCTATGTGGAGAGTTGGATTGTGCTCATGCCTAACAGGATGTTTGAATCAGAAATGTTGGTTTAATGTTTTATTTTCGTTTATTTTGTTATTTGCAATGCCAAATGGACGTCAAATGGAATGCCATCTGCGTCACTACAGTAGGTTTAAAACAAACTCCATCTAAGTGTGGATTTTGAAGGTTTTATTTGATGATGATTATACAGTCCTCCCTGAAATGTGAAAATAAGTGTCAGCATCAGGTGTATCAAATATGTGATTTAAACTAGTAGCAAAGAAGAAAACATGCACATTGTGGCATGTTTCCTTTAGCCTACTGCTTTCAGGCCCGTCGCGACAGGACAGGCAAACCAAGCAATTGCTTGGGGCCCCAAGCTGGACTGGGGTATGTATACACATACATGTATGTATATGTATGTATACATATACATACATATATGGGGTATGTATATGTATAGAAAAGACTATGTATATATATATATATATATATATATATATATATATATATATATTTAATTAAAAAAAACTTTATAAATAAAACGTAATTATGAGAAGTGCCATTTTTTTTCACTTGAGCCCCTGCCCCTCAAAATGCCTGTGCACGTCTCTGCTCACGGTTGTAGAATAGCCTATAAATGGGTTCTTATCATATTTCAAAGGTCATATCATCTTATCATATTCTTTAAAAACTATAACTCTTTCCAAAAAATCGTTTGCGATCTAATTACTCGAACAGTGAGTGAGGTAACCTTGCTGAAATCGCACAGTTGGCTAGGCTATACGCCCACTCGCCCACCGTAAGCAGCTGCTTTTTTTTTTTTTTTTTTTTACAGCGCAACATGTTCTGGCCCCGCCCTACCAATAAGCCTCGCCTGCATTATTCGTGTCCTCCTGCTCTGACACGCGCTTTTACTTGGTGCGAACATCCGGAGCGCGGTCACAGAGCAGACTTCAAACATGCTCCGCGCCTTGTCCTTAAAGGGATTCACCCAAAAATGAAAATTAATCACTCATGTTGTTTCAAGTCTGTATTATTTATTTATTTTTTGTGATAAACGCAAAAGAAGATATATTGGAGAATGTGGGTAACCACCAGACAGCTGCTGTGTCCCATTGACTTCCATAGTAGGAAAAATGATCTTATGAAAGTCAATGGGGACCAGCAACTATTTGGCTAGTAACCATATTCTTCAAAAAAAAACTTTTATGTTCAACAGAAGAAAGAATCTCATTCAGGTTTAAAACAACTTGAGGATGAGTAAATGATGACCGTTTTAATTTTTGGATGAACTATTCCTTTAATGTTGATAAACTATTGTTGTTTTCGTGTTACAAGTCCATCTGATATGTTAATTTGATGTCGTTATTTGAGTATTTAATTTAATGTTGTCCATTTTTTACATTTATTATATAAGAAGATTCTTAAAAGAATAATGCAGACAAAAAAGCTTTACAAGTGGTGATATGAATTGACTTTTTGTTTCGCTTTTGAGTGAACTGTTCCTTTAAGGAGGAGTAAAACGTGTTTCTTTGTCCAAATGACGCAGTATGAAAGCATGGAATGCTCATGTTCTATACTATCTTCAAGGATACAATATCATCTTATATTATAGAAATATCTTATGTCTTGTCAATGTCACTGAAATACGTATATACTTTGATCAGTGATGAACGCATTTAAATGCCTTATATATTATAATCAGGGGAAAACATATTAGGCTAGATTAAAATGTCAACAGAAAAACTGCAAAACCTAGTAATTCAAATATCACACACATAAAATAATGCAAAATGTAATATTATGGATGAAAACATTTACAAAGCATTTCCATAACAAATAGAAATATCATCACCCAGTTACAAAAAAAAAACGATATCTGCAAAGCAACACTCCATGCATGTTAAAAAAAAATCTTTAAATTCTTTGATCTGCTTACTTTCTGCAAAACATTCTTACCTTTGGCAGCAACAGTGCAGAATGGCAGCAACAGTGCAGAATGAGAAAAATCAGAAGAGTGTGTCCATCTGAGAGAACTCTGAGAGTAAATATAATAGCCTACACTGAATAGCCTATTTAAGTTTCTCACTGAATAGCCTATTTAAATTTCTCTTCGACGGCTTCGTTCTGATTTCGTCAGCTGCAATTTGAACTGCCGTATATTTTTGGACAAAGTCGGTGTCTGAATTAACCCTGTAAGACCCGTGATATAGTAAAATTACATCATCACTTTTAGCTCTTCCAAAACAGATCTGCATTTTTTTTTTTTCATGAAACCCCCCTCTTTCAACTCAAGTCAAGCTCACAATCTTTTTGGAAAATGCAACTTAAATGGCCTTGGATAGCTGTGAGAAGAAGAGAGGGGACAGGGAGTGCCGTCACTAGGCTTGTTTGAGATGAGCAAAATCTGCGCAGAACCATCACCGGTGATCATGGGCGTGTTAGTGGGGGGGGAAAGTGGACCTGACTACCCAGGGCCCCGTCTAGGGGAGAGGGCCCTTTGAAACCCCATCAAAAAAAAATTTTTTTAACCTAATTAGAATTAATTGGGCCCTCCAATTGATGTCATGAATAATCATTTAAAAAAATATTGACCAAAATGAACTCAGTGTCAGACATCTGGACCCCCTTCCAAATGGTTTAGTCCGCAACGCGTCGACCGCCCATAGACGCAGCGGGCGGCAAAAAAGTAATAACGCAGTGAGTCTAGACTGAGCCTGTAACGGGAGTCTGATCTGATCATGCTGTGCAAAAAAGCCCAAATCGGGCTTTCAAAAAATGAAAGAGAGGAAAGAAAAAGATAGGAGGCAGAATGCGGGGAAGCAGCTGATGACTGCTTTCTTCCCAAAAGGTGAACTGAGTTTGCTTGTTATGCACCTAACGTTACATCCAATTAAAGTTAACGTAGTCAACTCCAGACAGCTGCTGCTAATGCAGGGTTCCAGACTGCGACCAAATTGGTCTCATATGCGACCATTTTTTGAGAATGTGATTGTACGAGTTAAAATTGTATGTGGTCGCGTCGCGTATGTGCGAGTGGACGCTCGCGCAAAAGAACACCGACCGTTGTATCAGCTGCTGCAGACTGCAGTCCGTAACTTATGTTCAAAACGAACGAGTAGGCTACATCATGAATCCATTTTCCAAACCGTGTTTTTGACTTATCCTGAATCACTACAGTACGCCTGTTATAAGTGTTTATATTCGGACTATTTTTTTATCCCGGATTCCCGGGGTTGACTCGGATGCGAAGTTGCCCAGTGACTGCGTGACTCGCCATAGACATTAATGGAGACTGAGAGAAGTAGCTCCGGCAACAGTGTTCTTCCGCAAGACACATAGACGTTACGCGCGCATTGCACACTGATGGTGGAACGCGCCAATTACGAATTCATGAATAAAAATATAAAAATGAAAATGTATCAGGAAACAAATTATTACAAAATGCAGGAGGTAAGGAGTGTGAGATTTCTGATTTTTGAACTAACTTATAAAATTTATACTCTAATCTTTTAAAATGTAATGCATACATTTGAATGTTTAATGATTTTTAAAAGATAGAAATATGATGCTAATAGAAAAATGACAGACACAGAAGATGATTAAAATGTAAATAGATAGATTGAATGTAATTCAAATGTAAAATTCTTAAAATTACAGATTAAAATTACTGTCCAAAATCCATGAAAATCCTGAAATTTGGCAATGATAATTAATATATTACAGGTATTTATGCTAAGCCTTTGCTAGCTTTGGTCCATTAAAACCACTATTCATCGGCATGCATTGATTAATCCCATGGCATGTAGCAAAAAAAAAAAAACGCAACGAAATCAAATGCTGGTGCGACCAACTGAGAAAGTTGGTAGCATATCAGTTTAACCTGGTTTCTGAGGGTACAGTTGTCTCTCGTGTTCTCCTATTCAAAAATAAATGTTTTTCATTTAAAACTTGCATCAGTATAGCCAAATGCATCAATTCAGGTGGTAAATGAAAGAACCAGTCATTACTATAATCTGATTTTATTATAGATTTAAATACTGTTTATACTTGTTTATATTCAAATAATTAAAATAATACATTTCATTCAAAATTGAATTTTAATTTTGCTAACAAGCATCGTACAATGCCATGTGTAGGGGGCCCACTGACATTGAGAGTGTACAGGGCCCAGAATTTGGTGCTACGCCCCTGCCGGTGATTAGCGCGAAATGCATGTTTAGAAACGTCAGAGAGCGGTCCGCCTGGCTCTGATGTCATTCCGACGTATGTCAACAAAAGAGAAAACTCTAGCGAGCGCATCTCCACCGACTGCGCTGATCAAAAGCACGATGGGAAACGACTTGCTGATGACACAGCTTAACGCTCATTGGTTTAAATTACCGTGATGTATTGTTCTGTCTAAAAATGTTTGATTTTAAAACTCTGATATCATGTTTTATGTGTAGCCTATACCTACATTTGTTATGGATGAATAAACTCTCTGACAGTGCGATATGGGTTATTATGTGATGACATTTTTATTAAAACAATAAAAAACACATGTCTGTATTAAAGAAAAATGATTGATAAACACATATTTCGAATGTAATTAAATAACAAGTACTTTGGGTGTCTTGTTCATTTTATTTATTTTCATATAGCCTAATAGCAACAGATCTTAAATTGCATCCAGTTTATTAGCAACACCATACACGAGCGTGAATCCTGTGAAATCAGTCTTTGATCTCACAGGTGTCAAACCCACTGCGAGAAGAGAGATCTGTCTGGCTTGCCTGCACTTTTTTTCACTCCTCCTCCCCTCACTACAGCCGCCTACTCTCGACTACATTTCAAGCGAAGCACGGCGCATCTCAAACAAGCCTAAAATTACATCCAGTTTATTAGCAACACCGTGCACAAGGGTGAATCCAGTGAATCCCGTGAAATCAGTCTTTGATCTCACACAGGTGTCAGACCCACTGCGAGAAGAGAGATCTGTCCGTCTTGCCTGCGATTTTTTTTTTTTTTTTTTTTTTTTTTCACTCCTCTCACTGCAGACGCCTACTCTCACATACATTTCAAACAAGCCTTGTTATCGCCAATGTCCCATGCATATCGGTCACTAAAAAGCAGTGGTTAAACGTGAGGAAATGCTAGATCTTTTTATAGCTGGCAAAGTTAAAGTCTTATGAAATACACTGACACTTTATTATTGTCCTTTCAAAAGTAATGTACCTAACTAAGAATGTCTCATTAATAATTGAGACACCGATGATGAGTCATCAAGCACTCAGTCTCGATGAGTCTCGGCGACTCAGCATTCATGGGCTGATCTGAGATTCGGAAAAGGCCCTGATCTCTAGTTGCATTTCATTATATAGCCAGACCTCTCATATGTAAACATGAGTTTACAGTGGAAATTTACTGTGTTATACTTACTGGCGGTAAAAATTGACCATTCGCTAACATAAATAGGTAATTTGCATTCATGAATTTACACATTTTGGAAGTAGGCCTACCATGCCTAGAGACCACATTCCTTTGTGCGCCAGTTATCCCTAAACTCTTAAAAACCATATTACCTTTTGTTTTACTTATTTGGAAATCGAACACTTGTACCAGTCGCACTTGTAGACATTTCAAAATAATACTGAACGCATGTATAAAACTGTATGATAGATTCTTCTGTGAGTTTGGGTGATTTCTAGGGTTTCCCCAGGCTGCAGCATGATTTTATTTATGCTACTACACAGCCTGAACACCAAATTTACATCTTCTGGCACACCATTATCCTTGCTGTCAACGCCTGGCTCCTTTACAAATGGGACTGCAAAGCTCTCAATCTTCCCAAGAAAAAGATGCTGAACAGGAGGCTGTTTCAGGGGCAGCTAGCATGCTAAGAATCCATTTCTGCTCTTTACTGATATCACTCAACCGATTGTCTATGAGCTACGTACAGGCGCATTTGATAGACATTCATTGCACCCAATAATATGGCCTTGGGCATTCGTAAACCATGCCTCAAATAGGAGAAAATGAACATGTAGTTTCCAGGCTAGTTAGCCAGGCTAGCCCAACGTTGCAATATTACATTTCCTTAAATACTTACTAAAATACTTACTACTATTTTTTAAAAATCCTTCATTATTTACATCAGAGGCCTTCTACAACAACATCTGACAGCTGAAACAATTTTTTCACCCTTTTTTCCTATATTTGGGTCTTACAGGGATTTGTTGTTACAGAGCCGCATGTGGAAAAATAAGTTTTATTCTTCTAAATGTAACCATATTTAAAATGTCATGCCATTTATGCTAAAAGTTTACATCTGAGTCCGTGGTTCTAAGTTTAAAAGAGAGACTTTCACTTTCTTAACAAGTTGCCACATGTTGTTAACAGCAACAGCACCACCAGATTATCTTGAAAAAATATATTTTCTGGTAGCTTCACTAAAGTTACATTTTCAAGAACACTTTACCAGAGGCTGAAGTCTTAAAAGTCCAGCTCAAAGATAATGAATTAAAAGCAACCTACCTTTTATGTTTTGCTCTGTCCCCTTCTAATTCATGTGAGAACTGAGCTGACTGTTTTACCTGGGGGGCAAACAGAAACGAAATAGTTTAGGTTGCGTGCCAACTGCATACGAATTAAGGATGTACCAACACTGAGGTAACTGTTGTGCATTAAGTGTTTGTTTTGTACAACTTACTTCCTCACCTTTGGACTACTTCTTTGCTGGTGGTCCCATGCGTGGGAAATGGCTTTATTGGTTCCATAGTTAACTACTTCCATGCCATTTTTTGACATTTGGGTATAAAGTGTTTTCATTTTCAAATACATGGTGTAAAAACGTCGACGTGGTTAAACAGAAAGCTCCTGAAGTAGGGGTACTCTGTGACGTGGGGTAGTCTATGACACTACTCTGTCACGCCTCTGCAAACATCTGGTTCCGTCAAAACCACTGTAGCAAGTCAGGAGTTGGAATTACGAGTATTGAAAACGATCAGGGTAGTGTACATTAGCATCTAATTGGCATATTTTATGTAGTTATTTAGATTATTTTGTGTAGTATAGGTAGCTATAGGTTGTTAATTAGCATTGTTGTAGTGTTGTTAGTATTGTTAGAAGCATTCGTTTAGTATATTGCATCAGTTAGAATAGCGTACATTTTTATCATTAGCTTTATTTGTATTTAGTACAGTGGTTAGGATGTTGCTGGTTGCAACAGCACTGCTGGACTGCATAACTTCCCATTAGACTTGGAAATTATGCACCAAACGCTGCCCTTCCTGCATATAGACTCCACCACCGCAGAGGCGTCATGATGTGAGTGGGTATATATTTAATCACAATTTATGGTCCTTCCTATTAGGCTTTTTAACCCTCTGGTGTAGACAAATGCGCCGGCGCGATTTGCTGGATATTTTTTTCACATAGCAACAAAATTAAGGTTGCTAGCCACGGCCAGCTTTCTACGTTCTTATTCAGGCATTACATTTTTATACTTAAAAACTTCATGCAGTTTCTTCATTCATTTAGTCACATTAAAAAAGCAACATTTTAAACTAAATTTTAAAAGCTGAGACCTAAGTATAGGCCAAATATACTTAGACTTGTCTGTCAGTAAACCTAGTGGAATTTTAACTATAGCCTATTTCTGAGACGTACATAAAGTATATTTCTGAGAAGTGCATAGTTTAAAAGAGGTATACAAATAACACACTTGATTAAATTTATTTTTCAGAAGAGACCCCATAATGACCAAGGGCAAATAATTCCACAACCGGTTTATTTCTCTCTTGGACAAACTCAATCAATCTATTTCCCTCTTGGTTCTCTCACACCCAACACAAACTATGCTTATCCTCCCTTCCTGCTGTTTTCTCGGACCGTGCAGGGAAGCGCTCCAATTCTGTTTGTCAGAGTGAAACATTCATTGTTTATATATCTCCTGTTAGACATTGTTTTATGTATATTTAATGAATCTTTCTAAAGAATAACAATTATTAAAAATAATATTCTCACAGATCAGAGTGAAAATGTCTATGCAAAACCTCCAGCATTTAGTTAAATCAGTGTCATACGTTCCTCTGAAAGTCTCCACGTATCTGTACAGACACAAACATATGACTTTTTTTTCCTTCTTTGTTTGTTTCATAGAAGTATTGGTGAATTATGAAATGAGAAATGTTCTTTCCTCTCTGGCTCTCACATTCTCAGACATATTCCCAACTTTAATTTATAAAGGGAGAGGCGTTGTGTAAGGTTTTTAATACTATCAATGAAAGTTCACACAGTTGATTTGTTGGATCCATAATGTGCAATGTAACACGAGCAGCAATGTATGATGCCCTGAAATACTCCATAGGAGCCTAAAGGCACGAATGTTAGTGTGGAAAACAAATAATGAAAAATAAATCAATAACAACAAAATGTATTCAAGATTTCCCATTGCTACCCTGATGGTTATTGCTTTACAGAGGAATGAGGCACACTGCTCTCATTATATGCTGTGATTCATATACTTAATTTCTGCTGGTGGTGGCCCCATGAACCTCTGGTGTAAAATCATGATTGAGATTATTACAAATGCAATTTCAGTGAAAACATCATTATAGAGTCTCTCGGCGCCTCTCTGCAGGTTTTTTTTTATGCAGATATGCATCAAATTCTATAAAGGACACATTTAATGCGTTTAGTGACTCAGTGAAGGGTCTGGTGATACATGGAGTCTGTCTCTCTCCTCTTGGTGTGTATGAAAATGAGTGTGTGTCTTCACTATCCGCATCTGGCTATAGCTTTAGGGCTGAAATCATAAATCACTGCTCAGTTATTGTCATGCTTGGCAACATGTAAAATGTAGGCTATATTACGTATATTCCCATACACTAACTCTATACACATAAACGTACCCATTCGATTTTTGAAAAAAGAAAAAGAAAAAAAAAGTTTATTTTTAGGTGAGCAGATGTTTAAAAGTGCTAACTTCATAGTAGTTTTTGTCCCCACAGCAATTTTGAAGTTTAATATGCAGCAGATTAGATGAGTTTGTACTATTTAAGAGGGCGTTATAGACTTTCTATTTCCTATTGATATCTGAGGGCTGGCAGCAAAAGATGAGAATGGTTGGTTCCGGTGTTTACACCATTTTCAGCCTGATCTCACGAAAGTGCATATCTATAGCACAAATTGCATTTATTGTGCAATTTAGACACAAAAAAAAGAGTTCTACACCGTGCATGTACAGTTAAAGGGATAGTTCCCCCAACTATGAAAGTTATAATTTACTCACGCATATGTTGTTCCAAATTTATATGATTTATTTATTTATTTATTTATTTTTTTTGAACACGAAAGAAGCTACTTTGAAGAAATTGGTAACCAGACACCTGATGGCCATTGACCTCCTAGTGGGAGAAAAAAATACCATGTAAGTCAATGGCTTCCGTCATCTGTCTGGTTACCAACATACTCCAAAAAGTAGCTTATTTTGTGTTCAACAGAAGAAAGACACCCATAAATCTTTTGCAATAGCTTAAAGGTATTGAGGTAGTAAATGATGACAGAATTTGGGGATTTGGGGGCGAATTATCCCTTTAAGGAGTTCTGACTGCTCTTTCCGAATATCAGGGTAAATTTCTTGTGTGTTCTGGCACAACCACAAGTAACTTTATTATAAGAAAAGTAATCTTAGAAGTTCATGGCTAGATATATATTTAAGAACCAGATGGAAGCCTTTTTGTCTAAATAAAAGCAGCATGGTGTTTCCTCTCAGGAATAGAAACTGCATGGAGGATGGTTGGATAAAAATTCCAGTCTCGAATGTTTCTAATTTTTTGGTTGGCACAAAAGCTTTATCGTTTGAGCACTGTGCTGATTTGCTGAAGTTAGGAGATAAAATACAAAAGTAAGAGAGCAAAGCACAGAGCAGGAAGGAATTGAAACAAAAATAGGCTTTAATAAAAAAAAACACTGTTCACTCGTTGGCCAGAGGAGAAGGTTTCTCCCAACTCCCAAGGTTTTTTCCTCCATTCTGTCACCCTGATGGAATTTTGGTTCCCTGCCACTGTTGTCTTGGCTTTTTGGCTATCATAGTTGGGGACATTTAAATTCAGGCAGCTATATTATTGATCTGCCTGACTTAAGGTGGACGATGACACAATTTTCTTCTGGAAACTTTGTTGTATTAATTTCATGTTATCTCTGTGAAGCTGCTTTAATACAATCTGTATTGTAAAAAGCGCTATATATAATAAAGGTGACTTGACTTGAAGTTATGAATGTATACATGCTAACTGCATTGAAGTAATTTCATACTGAAAAGAAGAAATTGATTAGTGTGCAGAAGCGAACAGCATCCACATCATTTTAGACAAGAATTTGAATTACTAAGGTCTTGGGTTTATTATTTGTAACTTATTTGTGAGATAAGAGCCAAGTCTTACTCAATGCAACATAATCATATCATAACGAATGTCTCAGATGTGAAGGAACAAAAACAAGGAATAATAATAATTTTTTTAAAAGAGCTGTCATTATTTTATTTAGGCAATACTGACCCCTAGTGTTTACACTTGATGTGTATCTATGGGCAGAAGCCAGGTAATTAGCCTAGGATAAATATTTGAAATAAAAGCAAATACCTAATTTTTTATATATATATTTTTTTGACATTGTATAATTTAGGCTACATTTGATACATTTACAACAACGACAATACAATCTTTACTCAAAAAAGAACAATACAATAATAATGTCTTCATTGTGTATCAGTAATTTAACAAATATAATATACGTAAAAACATATCTCTGCTGAAATAATATTGTAACAGGCAAAACATGCTTATTAGATTAACTAGACTAGAGTAAATAACGTTACATACCAACGGATCCATCTTGTCCAATGATGTAGGATCACGATCTGAAAAATGTGTTGCTGCACAAGGGTCTGTGGCAAATATCTGACCAATCACTGAACGCATACTTGGTAAAATCAACCAATCAGTTTTAACCTTACAAGTACGCGATACTCTTTTCGCGGAAGTTGACGTTGCTAACAGCAGGGCAAACATTTCTGATCATGTCCTTCATTTATATTGAAAATAACACGTCTATAACCTAGAAGGTATGTCTGAACATTTGCATCTTGTTTTACATTTTATAAAGTACGTAACTAGCCGCTGTTTATAGGGTTGGGAATGGGATAAAGTCTTTCTGTAGAAATCAAATGCATGAATGATGTAATGACTTGTCATGAACTGCTGAATTAGTCATGGACTGTTTATATTAACTTAATGTGTCTACCATCGGGTGATCTTTCAGGTGCCAGATGTGGAAATATATTGTTCTACAATATTATAAGTAACGTTAACGTTATTTACACTCTGGTATTAGAAAAAACGTCAGAGTTTGTCAGTTAAAATGTCAGTGTGTTTAAAACAGCATATAAGACGGGTAGGGTTGAGTATACATTTTAAATCCTGGTGGTGCTTTAAAATATATTAATTACTCTAACGTTATTTGTGGCTAAGTTACTCCTGACCATAAGTACATTTTCTCTTATTATTGGACTACCAAAGAGCATGATTTTAAGTGTGGTAAGAAATCACTGGACATAAGAAGGAAGCATTCAGACTATTATTCAGACAAAATTTAGACTATTTCATAAACTGTAAATATTCCCAAGATCCACCTGACTCACATTTTACTGTAAGGGGAATCTTATTTAACTTTTTTTTTAGTCTTAACCTTCTCTCTCACAGGTTTTCCATTCTCGCAGGTTTTCAGTTTCATGCTAGAATGTCGGATATGTGGCCTGGGAAATCTGGATTCCTTGACTGATGGCGGCTCTGGCAGTATTTCGCCATGCCAGCAGCAGTCCTCTGCTCTGGAGTTGGGGACCTGTTCTGTTTGTCCTTCTGGGATCAGTATGTATTCTGTTGCTGCCTTTAGTGGGCATAGAGGAGCGATGCTGTGCCACACTGAAGGGTATTGCTCTTTTGCGCTGCCAGCTGTGGGGGGGTGTCCAGCGGCCTGTGGTCCACACAACCAGCCTGACAGTCCCCTTCACAGCGCTAGACCTGCTGCCACAAAAACTCAAGCCCAGCAAAGGTACAGTTGAAGATGCTGCTGACTCTATTTACGTTTTTAAGGCATGTCCCTGGACTTATTGTACATAATATTTTGATGAATAATTTATGTTATTCCAAATGAAACATCTTCGTAATCTTTCAAAAAAACATTAAATAGGTTTTTCCTCTGCAATTAGTCTTCCTGCTAGTCCTACTCTAAATCTATTATTAATAATTTTTAATTATATATATTTCAGATGCCGTGGTTCAGTGTCTTATAATTGCAATGTCTTTTTCCAGTCTGAAACTGTCTTCTATTTAAAGCTGCAGTCCGGAACTTCTTTGGGTTAAAATGATCCATTATAATTTTTTTGAGCAAGTACATAACCAGCCAGTGTTCAAAACTCTATGCTTGCCTTAGCCCGATTCAAAACAGTAAGCTTGTAATAATGTTTTTATGATGTTAATGTTTTTTTTTGCATCATTACATCACATCTGTACACATAAAGAAGAGTCTCCGCTAGTTGACTATATTGCATGTGAAGATGTTTGAGGTGGAGATTTATAGCCTTTTCTCACAGCACTTGTTATAATTAAACTTATTAATTTGATTAAGATCCAGAATGTTTACAACAGGAGATTCACCCGTTGTAAAATGCAAAAGACTGGACTTCGGAGTGGCTACAGAAAAAAGAGTCAAATGCGAAAACGAGGATAAATATGAAGGGCATTAAATATAGTCATGCAATGCTTTAAAAAAAGGGCATTTTAAAAAAGTCATGCGCGATTTACTGGAATGCTTTTTTCCCCTTCGTTGGTCAGAACAAAAGTGGGTGTTACTTGTTCAGATTACATTTTCCAATGAAAATTCTTATGTTGGTCATACTTCCAAAAAGTAGAACCTGTGATTCTGAATGCCAGTATCCACACTGGCGCTGTGACTGACAACTGCACATTCGCTTCAAAACATTGTGTTCATCCACACTGTGCCGTGCCGAGGCACAACCCACATAAAGTTGATGACTCCGCAAATAACTGCAATTGCATATTTCGAACAGAGATGGCGGTAGAGAGGAAAAACTACGAACTGCAGCTTTTAATATTTTTTTAAAATGTAACTTATTCCTGTAATGCAAAGCTGAATCTTCAGTGTCACATGATTCTTCAGAAATCATTCCAAAGTGCTGATTTGGTGCTCAAGAAACATTTATTAGTAGTAGTATCAAAGTATTTTAGTATATTTCAGTTTTAAAATGTTTTATTTTAGTTAACAATAACAACACTGTTCCGGTAACACCCATTTTTTCATGACTGTCAATTTTATTGTTGAATTTTCAGTTTCTTAGATTTTTTTTTGTCTCATCTAGCTTTTGAATGTTTGTCCAGTTTTAAAAGCAATTCACTGTGTAATAAATTCAGATCAAATATATACGACAGGAACAAAAATGAAGCTTACTTTCAAGATTAGTGATAGTGCTTTTTGATTATGCGTCTCTCAGCTGGAATGTCGCATTGTGTGACGCTCACCAACTGCTTGTTTACAGAGACTCGGTTGGAGGCAAAGGCGGCTCTCCAGCAGGCTTTGGAGATGAAGAAAAATGGAAAAAGAGAGAAAGCTCATAAGCTGCTAGTCCACGCACTCAACATGAACCCTGAGTTTGTGGATGCGCTCACTGAACTGGGAACTATTCTGGAGGAAAAAGATGTTGTCCAAGCTGACCACCTCTACACCAAGGCCCTCGCTATCTCGCCCTGTAACGAGAAGGCCCTGGTAAGCAGGGATCGCACGCTCCCTTTAGTAGAGGAAATAGATCAACGCCACTTTGGGATCATCGATGGAAAGGTGCGACGTCTCATGTCCATCCCCAAGGGCAACTCTGCCTTGCGTCGGGTCATGGAGGAGACCTACTACCATCATATTTACCACACCGTTGCTATCGAAGGCAACACGCTCACGCTATCGGAGATTCGCCATATTATTGAGACCAGATACGCTGTTCCAGGTAAGAGTCTTCAAGAACAGAATGAGGCAATTGGTGTAGATGTAGCCATGAAGTACATCAACACCACCTTGCTGTCCCGTGCTGGAGCGATCACTGTAAATGACATCCTCGAGATCCATCGGCGGGTTCTAGGCTACGCCGATCCCGTGGAAGCCGGGCGATTTCGTTCTAGCCAGGTGTTCGTGGGACATCACATCCCACCGCACCCGCAGGACTTAGACAGACACATGCAGGAGCTGGTCCAGTGGTTGAACACTGAGGAAGCGTTGCATCTACACCCGGTGGAGTTTGCAGCTCTCGCGCACTATAAACTGGTTTACGTGCATCCGTTTGTGGATGGGAACGGACGGACGTCCCGTCTGCTCATGAATTTAATTCTAATGCAAGCTAGTTATCCACCAATCACCATTCGGAAAGAGCAGAGAGTAGAGTATTACGCCGCCCTGGATACAGCCAACGAGGGTGACGTTAGGCCCTTTATTCGATTCATTGCGAAATGCACAGAAATTACACTTGACACGCTACTGATAGCCACAACCGAGCATGCAGTTGGGCTGCCTGGGTCAAGTAATCACGCCTGCCCTGACTGTAAACGCACCATACCTGTGCATAGCTGAAAGATGTGTTGGTAGATGGGATAAGGTCGCACATCCATGTAATTGAAGTGCCATATGGTCCAAATCAGCCTCTGAAATAAATCATTGTCTAACCTTATACTGCTAGCTTGGGTCCTACAGAACATGGACCAATTGTGGATCCATTTTAAGTTTTTGTGTGTGTGTGTGTGTGTGTGTATTTAATGTGTACAGTAGCTATATTTGTTACAAATCCTGTTTGTTTTTTGACCCTTTTACCGCTACAGCTTTGTAGTCAGTTTTAATTAGAAATGAAAGAAAAGCATTTTCCTTGGAAAAAGAACAGGTCTGTGAAATTTTGAAAGATTGCAGGTCCATTTAATTTGGTTTGTTTTGGTTTTCAGATGCTTTGCCAGCTGAAGTACATTTATTGTGAACTTGTTGAACATTTTTCTCTCTTTATATACAGGGTGGCCGCGGGTCATTAAAAAGTATTAAAAAGTCTTAAATCAATTTTCCTAAAAATAAGGCCTTAAAAAGTATTACATTGTCTTAAATTCAGATTGGATAGGTCCTAAATATGTTAGTCATGTCACCGCAAAGATGCAGGCAAAGGTAATTGTTCTGCCAGCCAGGTCAAATATTTTCTACAAGTAACGTAACCTGTGTGTGAGACACGCAGGTGCGATCATACAGTGGAGTCATGAAAAACATCCTTCATTTTGTTCAGGACAACATTCAGTCTGCAAAGTGTTTACTTATATTTGTGTAGGCCTATACTCGCATTAAAAAACACTTTTAAAAGCAAAACGTATGTATCCAACCCCTGTTTGAAACAGTCTGTGTGTTGTAACGTCTGTCAGAGTTTGAGGTCCCAGAAGAAGAATAGGAAAGACAGTGCAAACGAACTGGTTGTTCTACGAGTCCTTTTATAGTTGCTTTCTTTGTTAAGCACACTCTTCACATACATGTCGAAAGAGCGGATGATAACAGGTTAAAGAAAACACTCTGTAAAACGCTGCAAATCAAAGTGGAAGTAAACGCAAAACAACATCCCGCGATAGATCGGTCATCGTCTTCCTCTTTGCGCGAGTGTTTTGAGATGCGCCTCGCCTAGCCTGCAATGTAATCGAGAGTAGGCGGCTGCAGTGAGAGGAGTGAAAAAAAGCGCAGGCAAGACGGACAAATCTCGGTTCTCGAAGTGGGTCTGACACCTGTGAGATCAAAGTCTGATATCGCGGGATTCACGCTTGTGCATGTGTTGCTAATAAACTGGATGTAACGTTAGGTTTCTGACCTGTTGCTTTTATATGAAAAGAAATATAATGAACAAGACAAAAGTACTTGTTATTTAATTATATTCCAAATATGTGTTTATCAATATTTTTTTCTTTAATACAGATATGTGTTTGTATATATTGTTTTTTAATAAAAATATCATGTTTATAAAAATATCATATTTGAAATCACATAATAACCCATGTGGCATTGTCAGAGAGTGTATTCACCCATAACAAATATGCATACACATAAAACATGATATCAGAGTTTTAAAATTAAACATGTTAAAAGAGAAAAATACATCACGGTTGTTTAAACCAATGAACATTATGCTGTGTCGTCAGCAAGTAGTTTCCCATCATGCTTTTGATCAGCGCAGTCGGTGGAGAGCAACTGGCTTTATGCCCAGCTGCACTACTTCCTGAACTTCAGCCAGCTCCTTGTTTCCTGTCTGCCATTATTGGCCAAAATGATTAATTCAGGTGTGTCTGATTATTGTTGCCATGACTACTGAGGTCAGGTACACCTGAATTAATCAATTTGGCCAATTATGGCAGACAGGAAACAAGGAGCTGGCTGAAGTTCAGGAAGTAGTTCAGCTGGGCATAAAGCCCACTGCGCGCTACTGCAGAATCCTACCAAGAGGGTAATCCAAGCTGCCTCCGGGGGCCGCCATTGTAGCGTACTATCACCTGCTGTTAGATATTAAGATATTTATAATGGCATAAATGCTACGTGGGATCTCAATATCTCAGCTCTGGAAGGGTCTAGATCCTCCATTTTTGCACTCAGGTCTAAGTCTCATGGCCCTCAATCAGAATCCAGAGTTTCAAGAAGATCAGAGAAACTCAAATTCGACCCCCAAAAAAAAACGACAGTGGTACCCCTGTCGTTTTTTTTTTCAGTGCGAAAAAATAAGTTTCTCCAATCTTCTCAATACTCTGGATTCTGATAGAGGGCCATGAGACTTAGACCTGAGTGCAAAAATGGAGTCTCTAGGCCCTTCCAGAGCTGAGATATTGAGATCCCACGTAGCATTTATGCCATTATAAATATCTCAATATCTCAGCCCTGGAAGGGTCTAGAGCCTCCATTTTTGCACTCAGGTCTAAGTCTCTTGGCCCTCTATCGGAATCCAGAGTTTCAAGAAGATCAGAGAAACTTAAAATTTCGACCCAAAAAAAAAAACGACAGTGCTACCCCTGTCGTTTTTTTTTCTTTCGATGCGAAAAAATAAGTTTCTCCAATCTTCTCAAAACTCTGGATTCTGATAGAGGGCCATGAGACTTAAACCTGAGTGCAAAAATGGAGTCTCTAGACCCTTCCAGAGCTGAGATATTGAGATATTTATAATGGCATAAATGCTACAGTGGTACCCCTGTCGTATTTTTTTCGGTGCGAAAAAATAAGTTTCTTCAATCTTCTCAAAACTCTGGATTCTGATTGAGGGCCATGAGACTTGGACCTGAGTGCAAAAATGGAGTCTCTAGGCCCTTCCAGAGCTGGGATTTTAAGATCCCACTTAGCATTTATGCCATTATAAATATCTCAATATCTCAGCTCTGGAAGGGTCTAGAGCCCTTTTTTGCACTCAGGTCTAAGTCTCATGGCCCTCTATCAGAATCCAGAGTTTCAAGAAGATCAGAGAAACTCAAAATTTCGACCCAAAAAAAAAAACGACAGTGGTACCCCTGTCGTTTTTTGTTTTTTTTTTTCAGTGCGAAAAATTAAGTTTCCCCAATCTTCTCAAAACTCTGGATTCTGATAGAGGGCCATGAGACTTAGACCTGAATGCAACAATGGAGGCTCTAGACCCTTCCAGAGCTGAGATATCGAAAATCAAAATTTCGACCAGAAAAAAAAAACGACAGTGTTACCCCTTACGTTTTTTTTGGGGGGGGCGAAAAATTAAGTTTCCCCAATCTTCTCAAAACTCTGGATTCTGATAGAGGACCATGAGACTTAGACCTGAGTGCAAAAATGGAGGCTTTAGACCCTTCCAGAGCTGAGATATCGAAACTCAAAATTTCGACCAGAAAAAAAAACGACAGTGTTACCCCTTACATTTTTTTTTTTGGGGCGAAAAATTAAGTTTCCCCAATCTTCTCAAAACTCTGGATACTGATAGAGGGCCATGAGACTTAGACCTGAGTGCAAAAATGGAGGCTTTAGACCCTTCCAGAGCTGAGATATCGAAACTCAAAATTTCGACCAGAAAAAAAAACGACAGTGTTACCCCTTACATTTTTTTTTTGGGGGCGAAAAATTAAGTTTCCCCAATCTTCTCAAAACTCTGGATTCTGATAGAGGGACATGAGACTTAGACCTGAGTGCAACAATGGAGGCTCTAGACCCTTTCAGAGCTGAGATATCGAAACTCAAAATTTCTACCAGAAAAAAAAACGACAGTGTTACCCCTTACGTTTTTTTTTTTTTGGGCGAAAAATTAAGTTTCCCCAATCTTCTCAAAACTCTGGATTCTGATAGAGGGACATGAGACTTACACCTGAGTGCAACAATGGAGGCTCTAGACCCTTCCAGAGCTGAGATATCGAAACTCAAAATTTCGACCAAAAAAAAAACCACAGTGTTACCCCTTACGTTTTTTTGGGGGACGAAATATTAAGTTTCCCCAATCTTCTCAAAACTCTGGATTCTGATAGAGGGCCATGAGACTTAGACCTGAGTGCAAAAATGGAGGCTTTAGACCCTTCCAGAGCTGAGATATCGAAACTCAAAAATTCGACCAGAAAAAAAAAACGACAGTGTTACCCCTAACGTTTTTTTTTGGGGGGGCGAAAAATTAAGTTTCCCCAATCTTCTCAAAACTCTGGATTCTGATAGAGGGCCATGAGACTTAGACCCTTCCAGAGCTGAGATATCGAAAATCAAAATTTCGACCAGAAAAAAAAAAACGACCGTGTTACCCCTTACATTTTTTTTTTTTGGGGCGAAAAATTAAGTTTCCCCAATCTTCTCAAAACTCTGGATTCTGATAGAAGGCCATGAGACTTAGACCTGAGTGCAAAAATGGAGGCTTTAGACCCTTCCAGAGCTGAGATATCGAAACTCAAAATTTCGACCAGAAAAAAAAAAACGACAGTGTTACCCCCTTACGGTTTTTTTTGGGTAAAAAATTAAGTTTCCCCAATCTTTTCAAAACTCTGGATTCTGATAGAGGGACACGAGACTTACACCTGAGGGCAAAAATGGAGGCTTTAGACCCTTCCAGAGCTGAGATATCGAAACTCAAAATTTAGACCCGAAAAAAACCCCGACAGTGTTACCCCTTACGGTTTTTTTTTTGGGCGAAAAATTAAGTTTCCCCAATCTTCTCAAAACTCTGGATTCTGATAGAGGGCCATGAGACTTAGACCTGAGGGCAAAAATGGAGGCTCTAGACCCTTCCAGAGCTGAGATATCGAAAGTCAAAAATTCGACCAGAAAAAAAAACGACAGTGTTACCCCTTACGTTTTTTTTTTTTGGGCGAAAAATTAAGTTTCCCCAATCTTCTCAAAACTGGATTCTGATAGAGGGACATGAGACTTACACCTGAGTGCAAAAATGGAGGCTCTAAACCTTTCCAGAGCTGAGATATCGAAAATCAAAATTTCGACCAGAAAAAAAAACGACAGTGATACCCCTTACGTTTTTTTGGGGGGGCGAAAAATTAAGTTTCCCCAATCTTCTCAAAACTCTGGATTCTGATAGAGGGACATGAGACTTAGACCTGAGTGCAACAATGGAGGTTCTAGACCCTTCCAGATCTGAGATATTGAAACTCAAAATTTCGACCAGAAAAAAAAAACGACTGTGTTACCCCTTACGTTTTTTTTTTTGGGCGAAAAATTAAGTTTCCCCAATCTTCTCAAAACTCTGGATTCTGATAGAGGGCCATGAGACTTAGACCTGAGTGCAAAAATGGAGGCTTTAGACCCTTCCAGAGCTGAGATATTGAAACTCAAAATTTCGACCAGAAAAAAAAAACGACTGTTACCCCTTACGTTTTTTTTATTGGGCGAAAAATTAAGTTTACCCAATCTTCTCGAAACTCTGGATTCTGATAGAGGGCCATGAGACTTAGACCCTTCCAGAGCTGAGACACGAAAATCAAAATTTTGACCAGAAAAAAAAAACGACAGTGTTACCCCTTACGTTTTTTTTTTTGGGCGAAAAATTAAGTTTCCCCAATCTTCTCAAAACTCTGGATTCTGATAGAGGGCCATGAGACTTAGACCTGAGTGCAAAAATGGAGGCTTTAGACCCTTCCAGAGCTGAGATATTGAAACTCAAAATTTCGACCAGAAAAAAAAACGACAGTGTTACCCCTTACGTTTTTTTTTTTTTGGGCGAAAAATTAAGTTTCCCCAATCTTCTCAAAACTCTGGATTCTGATAGAGGGACATGAGACTTACACCTGAGTGCAAAAATGGAGGCTTTAGACCCTTCCAGAGCTGGGATTTTAAGATCCCACTTAGCATTTATGCCATTATAAATATCTCAATATCTCAGCTCTGGAAGGGTCTAGAGCCCTTTTTTGCACTCAGGTCTAAGTCTCATGGCCCTCTATCAGAATCCAGAGTTTCAAGAAGATCAGAGAAACTCAAAATTTCGACCCAAAAAAAAAAACGACAGTGGTACCCCTGTCGTTTTTTGTTTTTTTTTTTCAGTGCGAAAAATTAAGTTTTCCCAATCTTCTCAAAACTCTGGATTCTGATAGAGGGCCATGAGACTTAGACCTGAATGCAACAATGGAGGCTCTAGACCCTTCCAGAGCTGAGATATCGAAAATCAAAATTTCGACCAGAAAAAAAAAAACGACAGTGTTACCCCTTACGTTTTTTTTGGGGGGGGCGAAAAATTAAGTTTCCCCAATCTTCTCAAAACTCTGGATTCTGATAGAGGACCATGAGACTTAGACCTGAGTGCAAAAATGGAGGCTTTAGACCCTTCCAGAGCTGAGATATCGAAACTCAAAATTTCGACCAGAAAAAAAAAACGACAGTGTTACCCCTTACGTTTTTTTTTTTGGGGCGAAAAATTAAGTTTCCCCAATCTTCTCAAAACTCTGGATTCTGATAGAGGGCCATGAGACTTAGACCTGAGTGCAAAAATGGAGGCTTTAGACCCTTCCAGAGCTGAGATATCGAAACTCAAAATTTCG